CCCAGAGGCAAATCCCGGAGGTAGGTCCCGCAGGCAGGTCCCGGGGGCAGGTCCCGGAGGCCGGCAGCTCCCGGAGGCAGGCAGCTCCCGGAGGCAGGCAGCTCCCGGAGGCAGATCCCAGAGGCAAATCCCGGAGGTAGGTCCCGGAGGCAGGTTCCGGAGGCAGGCAGGTCCCGGGGGCAGGTCCCGGAGGCAGTCAGGTCACGGAGGCAGGCAGCTCCCGGAGGCAGGCAGCTCCAGGAGGCAGGGAGCTCCCGGAGGCAGATCCCAGAGGCAAATCCCGGAGGTAGGTCCCGGAGGCAGGTTCCGGAGGCAGGCAGGTCCCGGGGGCAGGTCCCGGAGGCAGGCAGGTCACGGAGGCAGGCAGCTCCCGGAGGCAGGCAGCTCCCGGAGGCAGGCAGCTCCCGGAGGCAGGCAGCTCCAGGAGGCAGGCAGCTCCCGGAGGCAGAACCCAGAGGCAGATCGCGGCGGCAGGTCCCGGAGGCAGATCCCAGAGGCAGATCCCAGAGGCAGATCTCAGAGGCAGATCCCAGAGGCAGATCCCGGAGATAGGTCCCGGAGGCAGGTTCCGCAGGCAGGTTCCGGAGGCAGGCAGGTCCCGAAGGCAGGCTATGGCACTTTAACCCAAGCGGGACGTCCGTACTTCGAGTGGCATGCGGCACAGCGCAAAAGGTACTTTAAAGGATAATTTTACAACCCCCCCCCCCCCATAGAGGGGCAGGTGGACAAACGCCCGAAGGCGACATAAGCCCGAAGGCAACACCCGCCCGAGGGCAGATGTACAGTGCTAGTCGGCCGGCACTGATCCAGCCACCACGGGCTGGAAAGAAAAGTTTAGTGACATATTTACAAAGATCTTGGCAAAGCAGCCACACCTCTGACAACAGTGCTAAGAGTTGGTGGCACGCAGGCCACACTTCACCACTCATTTATGTCACATTCCATACCATACAGAACCGGAGTAGGCCGCTATCATTTCCGTAAAAACCTGATGCACCTCATATCGCCTGTGGAGCAATGCGTACCAGTTAAAAAACACTGTAAAGGGAATGAAATGACATCATGATAGATTATGTTAAAAGTACTGGTTCTTTACCTTGAAACATGTTGTATTTATAGTAGGTTACTTCAAGTACACTGCACCCGGTGTACTTACTACTTTACTTGAAATACATAACCTCTCATTTGTTTGGTACTTTACTTCAAGTACTTTTTAGATGTACTTTACGCAACACTGTAAACAAGCAAACGCTGTCTAAAAATCAAGCTCAGGCAGTGCTAAATCTTAAAGTATAAATGGCACGTTTGCAGTACATCTTTGACCAAACAAACAGGGAAGTACAAAACAAGTATGCACGCAGAAGCAGAACCAGCTATTAAAGCATTTCTTTGAAAAACAATCCAATTCATATTTGGCTAGCACAATTCGGCTAACGGATCAAACCTATGTACTTTCTCTTTACCGTAACAAAACATATAAAAGTAACTTCGTAACTTCAAAAGTAATTTGCTACTTTTTTACGGTAATTAGTGATCTACTCAATTACTTTCTATTTGAGTAATTTCTACTCTACTCAAATTACTTTTGAGGTCAATACTCAGTAACTTAACTTAATTACTTTTTTGAGTAACTTGTACATGTCTGGTAAAAGGAATCTGAAAACGCTGGTTGAGCGGGCGCATAAACGATAACGCACGCCGGTTGCGAACCGAGATAAAGATCGAAACAGATAACGCGGCCGTCTAAGTCGAAAGTGCAAAAACTACTAGTGAATAAGCACGGTCGAAAAAAAATCACGCCCACACCCGTGCTGCGCGAAGAACTGTAAGAAAATTAACAAGGAAAAGAAAAACGAGCTTTAAAATCTTTGACATCGCGAGTACCGTAGAAGTTAGTTTCTTGTACAAAAAAAGGTCACAGCCTAAACCCCGGGCGAAATGAACAACTTCACGTTGCTTATCCTCATTCCGGAAACCCTGGACGTTGTGGGATAAGATGCGAAGGGCCTGTTGAAAATCAAGGTTTAACCGATCCTTCCTAGCGCGCGGGCATGGGAGCGGGGGGGAGAAAAAGAGGAAGTTGAAGTAAATCGTTCACCAGTGCTGGGTCGTCCTGTTCCTTTCCCCTACGAGCGCCCTCAAGGCGCAACATTTTGGTGCCGAAACCCGGGAGTTGAACAAAGTTGGACGCCGCATTGGTGAATATGGATCGACTAAAGAAGAAACGAGCGGTTCGACGCAGCCGGAACACCAAGCTCGTAAATGAGATACGAGCAGCGCTAGAGTCGGACCCTATGGACTCCAAGAGACTTGAAAGTTTGCGTGACAGACTGCTTGCTAGCAACGAAGAGCTTCGGAAGGTCAATGAGGAGATAGAGCCCCTCATCGACGACAACGACTCGGAGGAGGACTACAACACCGTGGCTGACTTCGAGGACGAGGTCGCAAGGATTATCAGTGAGGTTCGAGCCCAGACGACACCGCAACCGCCACGCTCCGGAGGCGACAAAGGCAGCAGCTCCTACTTGACTGGAATCAAGCTCCCGAAACTACAACTGCTGCAGTTCCAAGGTGAGCTCACAGAATGGCAACCATTTTGGGAGCAATTCGACGTCGCGGTACACCGCAACACAAGTCTTTCTGAGCCGGAGAAGTTCCAGTACTTACGCTCACTTCTCGTTGGACCAGCAGCCAGCATGATTTCTGGACTACAAGCCACTGCGGCATGTTACCAAGATGCGGTAGAGATGCTGACTGAGCGGTTCGGTGATAAACAACGAATCGAACGCGAATATCTGGGAAGACTGCGTAGGCTACCAGCTGTGAAGTCTGAGCGTGACGTACGGGGACTACGGGACGTCTACGATCACGTGCAAACAAACATCCGTGGCTTGCGTTCCCTGGGTATTTTGAGTGATACATACGCAACTATGCTGGTTGATATACTTCTGAACAGCTTGCCATCCCACATCGTAGTGGAGTACTACCGCATCAAGAGCTATATGCCACAACTGGCTCCTCCTACTCTATTACAAAAAGAAAAAACACAATCATGGTCGAAAAAAAAAAGACTGGAACGCGACATAGAATTGGTGACGAGTAAGGCCTCTTAGTTACGGGGGCTGGCGTCCAATAACGGGACGGTCTATCAAACTCAGACGTCGAACCTTTTTCTTCGTACCTGTCAAGCGTATGGGGCCAGGTCCAGAGTTTGACGAGGAGGGAGGACCCCTTTCCGCCGCTTGGTCCAGCGCCGGGAAGCTGACGGAGTCGCTCTCTGACGGCGGCGACTTCATGCTTTCCGTGTTGTCGGTGGCAGATTCCACGGGAGTTCGTGACCTCACACCTAGGTCGCTTGTCGAGGAGGATGCAGTGGCTGCTCCGGTTTGAGCTTCTGGGCTTCCGGGCGACTCGCTTTCTGCCGACTCGTCGATGACAAGGGGGGGGGGGACTCAACTTCCGAGTTGGGGCCGTCGCGCCCGCTGGCCTCCGAAAGCGCGGCTGGTGGTACCTGGGGAGCGTCCGGTTGGGTCACGCCGGCGGTCGGGTCGGTCTCTGCAGGCTGGGGTGGAGCACCCGGAGTGCTGTCGGTCGGGTCGGGTGCCGTCAGCGGAGAGGGCCTAGGATCCGAAGGACCCTCGTCTCGATTCACTGCCGAGAAACTCCGGCGCTGCGTGCAATCCGTGGTGGCGTGGTTGTGACTGCAACGCTTCCACGGGGCATTACAGCCGTCAGTGCTATGGCCGAAGACGCCGCACCGGTTGCAGCGTGGTGTGCGACAAGCGGCTCCAAAGTGGCCCTCCAGGCCGCAGCGGGCACAGACTTTCTTCATTCCTCGATGTTCGCACATCACACGGTGCCCTCCTACGTTGACGAAGTTCGGCACGGGCGTCTTCATCTCCATGCGGAGGAGTCGCGAGCCGGTGAAAAGCTTTGGCCGGTCTTTGTAGGTCAGGTGGGAAATGGCGAGCACCTTCCCGTAAGAACTGAAGACTGCCTGGAGGGCGTCGTCGGGGACGTAGGGAGGGAGCCGGAAGACCGTCACGTGGATGATACGCGGTCCCACCTGTTCGAGCAGGACCACGACGTTTCGAAGCAGCAGGTGGCCCTGCGCTACGATCTTTTCTGCAGCTGCCATTGAGCCGACTGCAGCCAGGATCTTCATGCAAAAATAGTCCAAAAGCCGGGAGATGTCATGATTAAAATAAGATCCATGGACCTTCCCGATAAATAGGACTGCGTTGACCGAAGCCCTCTCATTCCTGTGTATGTACTGATGATGCCTCCCGCATGGGAGGCGAAACGTTTAATGAAGTTGTTTTTCTTGTTATGTGAAGTCGGTGTTCTTATTTTAATCAGGAACTTCATTGCACCGAAGTGTTGCAAATGCGTCAAACTGCCCTCACCAACGAGGTCCCTGTCCATTATTTCATCGACAGGGACTTCGGCGGGTGCCGAGAACACGAAAGACTGAGCCTTCGGCGGGGCCTGGGATGGTTGCGGCATCTTCCGTGGCAGTAGGGTGGGGGCCCCGGTGACGCGCGACTGAGGGACGCGGGCCACAGGGAGACGATTCTTGCGTAGAAACTGTCGACGAGCTCGAAACTTGATCTTAGCCAAAAGGCCGAGAAGCGATACTTTAGCATGAAGAAAATTTAGCCCCACCTACAACAAGCTTCCCAGGTGAAAATTTCGCAACTGGTATCCAACTGGTCCCAGTTCAACTGGTTTAAGGAACAATTCCCAGTTGGACCAGCTGGACCAACTGGGACCAGCTGGCCCAGTCCAACTGGTCCCAGTTCAACTGGTTTAAGGAACGATTCCCAGTTAGACCAGCTGGGATCTAACTGGGACCAGGTAGAACTGGGATCTAACTGGGACCAGTTAGATCCCAGCTGCAAATAGGACCAGTTAAATCCTAGTAGCAGCTGCTCCGTTGTCGCTGGTCGCTTGACACTAGAAAATCCTCTTTGAACTAGTTCAAATAATTAAATGCGATGCAATTGCACTTTATTTACAATTTATTCCAAAGAGAGCTGCACTAGTAAGATGCTCATTATATCCTTTGATAGGCCTCTTTGCGCCTCATTGACTTAATAGAATCTTGTATCTTCTCTGACAAGATTTTTCCAAGGTTGGAGACCGCTGCGGTGACGTCCACCTTCTTTAGCCCTGCCCAATGGTGCAAGGTAGCTGCAAATGAATTGACCAAATATTATTTTTTGTTTCATGTTGTTTAGTATTACGTACCCACCTTCAACAACATTGACCTTTTCCGGGGTCAATGCGGGTTTGGGCAGCTCTCCCGAAGCCCTCTTGCTGGCTGGCAGCTGGCCCGACATACTTCTTACTGCCAGCCCAGGTGTAGTCCAAATGGACTGGGCCGTCTCTTTCACGACGAGAGACGGCTTGGTGTGTGCCATCACTCGTTTCGCCTGTGTTGACGTAAGCACTATCCCCTTCTGGAGGTGAAACTGTAAGCAGATTGAACATAATTATGTAAAACGGTGCTACTAGATGAGGTCAATAAGGAACATACACGACAGGAAAGGCACTGACTCACAAGTATATGATTTACTAGGAGGGAATGAAGACAAAGTATAAACTGTCACAAGTGTGTTTGCCAGTCTTATTATAACTGATCTCCTAGTTCACACTGGCATGCACGAAACCTTCATTATCCCCTTTAGAAATTCCAACTCTTCGTCTGACAATGCCATGATGCATGGATCACATGGTCACTTCCACCGCTGTTGATGTGATAGGTCTCCATCTCCTCACAAGTTGTCAATTGTCCTTGTGCCTGCCTAAAATAGTAGTGCTGTGGAAGGACAGTCCACAAACACACTCAATACAGTGAACTAGAACATATCCCGCACCGTGGCTCTAGGAAACCAAGCGTGTCCTCGGTGTCTGTCACTCAGGCACTGCCTTGTCTAGCCAATGCAGTTGCTGCCACAGAAGAGTGGAATGCTCTACACACCTCCCAAAAAAAACTGAACAAACAGTCCAACATACTTCTTGGTGCGTTGTTCCTGTAGCAGCGTGGCGCTGCAAGTCACGGCGCACCACGGCGCATCGGCTGTGCGCACCCCGGTCACGGATGTCACGTGACAAGCGCCTATAAGTATAGCACGTTCAATAAAGAAGCGCTTTTTGCCCGTTGGAATGTCGTCTGCTCAAGTTATCACATTGGCGACGAGGATGACAACGCACCCGCGCTGCCCAGCGGAAGCGTCGCAGACGGCAGCAGACGAGCACCATACGAGCGGGGCCAACTGAACGGACAGCGACAGCCAAAGCAGCGCAGTCATTGCATCTCAAGCGGGCGACGGACGGAGCGGACACGACGGACGGAAGCCAGCAACCGATAAGTACACCGTCGGTTTGCCGAAATATGGCACCTCTTGGAAAGCTTGACGAATACGACGAAAAACAACAGAATTTTGACTCGTATTTAGAGCGTTTCGAGCACTTCGTTAGCGCAAACGACATCAAACCAGAAAAGAAGCTAGCGGTGTTCTTGACCGTTATAGGACCTCGAGCTTACGAAGTTCTGAAAAGCTTGGTCGTACCGGCAGTACCGGGAGATAAGTCGTTCGAAGAAGTGAAAGTTTTGCTGAAAAACCACTATAGCCCGAAGAGCTCGGTCATAGCGGAAAGGTGCAAATTCAACAGACGTGTACAAGAGGAACAGGAGAGCGTTGAAGATTTCATTGTAGCGCTAAAGCATTTGGCAAGGAAGTGTGACTTTGGCCAGTTTCTGCAAGATGCTCTGAGGGACAGGCTTGTGGCGGGAATACGGCGCGAAGAAACGCAACGTGCGCTATTCGCCGAAGAAAGCTTAACCTTCGAAAGGGCATGCAAGATCGCATTGGATCAAGAGCAGGCGGCACGACAGACAGCGTTACTACACGCCGGAAGCAAAGACGCGTCGTTGAACGAGATAAGAGCGAACCAGAAAGATAACGTCAATAAGCGTGACGTTCGAAAACACAAGCAAAGCAAGAAGTCTTGCGAAAGATGTGGAAGGGCGCATGCGGCAAGCAAATGTTGGTACAAGAATGCTACGTGTCACAAGTGTGGCAAGTTAGGCCATTTGCAAAAAGTGTGCTCGAACGAGAAAAAGGGACCCAAGAACGCGAATGCAGTGGACTGCTCGGAGGACGATTCAGAACTGGACGTCTATCACTGCCTTAACACGGTGCGTTCGGGTTATGAAGTGAAAGTCAATGTTGAAGGGGCGGACGTTTTCATGCAAATTGATACAGGAGCGGCTGTAACAATTGTTCCTGAAAGTGTTGCGAAAACCGTGTTCCCTCATGTCAAGTGTGAGCCATCTCGGGTAAACCTAAAAACGTACACGGGTGAACGAATCCCGGTAAAAGGGCAATGTGACGTTTCCGTCACATACGAAAACCAGACTTTGAAACTGCCCGTTATCGTCGTCGATAACCAAGGCAAGAAATTGCCGTTGCTCATGGGGCGGAACTGGCTTGAGAGGCTCAGACTTGATTGGAAAAGCGTCATGTCACTGGAGCATGTAACTGATTCACACCGAATAGAAGCGCTGCGTAACAAGTTCCCGACAGTATTTTCTAATCAGTCTAGTGTCACGAACAACTATCAAGCGAAGATAGTTCTAAAACAAGATTGTACGCCGGTTTTTTGCAAGGCGAGACCGGTGCCTTACGCGTTACGCGATAAGGTTGGAGAAGAGCTGGACAGGCTAGAGAAGAGCGAGGTTTTACGCCGCGTAAGTCACAGTGAGTGGGCGACTCCGGTAGTTGTAATTCACAAGAAAGATGGATCACTCAGGTTGTGCGGGGATTACAAGGTAACGATCAACCCTGTACTAAAAACCGACCATTACCCACTGCCGCGACCTGAAGATCTGTACACTGCCATCGCAGGTGGCAAAGTGTTTTGCGTGCTGGATCTTTCTGCTGCGTATCAGCAGGTACCGCTGGCTGCCGAGTCCAAACCACTTTTGACTATAAACACGCACATGGGGTTGTTTCAGTTCCAACGCCTACCGTTTGGTGTGGCCAGTGCGCCAGCCATTTTTCAGTCCTTCATGGACGAGGTGCTTAAAGGCATACCTCATGTGGGATGCTACATTGATGACGTCATCGTGTCTGGAAAGGACACCCAGGACTGTCAAAAGACGCTGGAATGCGTCTTGCGTCGACTTCGTGACTACAATGTCACTTTGAAAACGGACAAGTGCCGTTTTTTCCAAAGCTCGGTGACCTACCTGGGTCACACGGTGAGTGCCGATGGCATTTACCCGACAGAAGCAATGACAAAGGCTATCACAGAAGCGCCCGAGCCCACCTGCGTAACGGAACTGAAGGCGTATTTGGGGATGCTAAACTTTTACGCTAAGTTTCTCAAGAATGTTTCGTGCGTAGCTGAACCGCTTTATCGGTTGTTGAAAAAAGGTGAAAAGTGGTCGTGGACTCTGAAGTGCAGCGAGGCCTTTGCTGCTACGAAGCAGTTGCTCGTAAACAGCCAGGTTCTTACGTTCTACGACGTAGACAAGCCAATTGCATTGCTGTGTGATGCTTCATCGTACGGGATTGGTGCTGTCATTTTTCATGTAACACCAGAAGGGGAAGAGCGCCCAGTGGCGTTCGCGTCGCGAACGCTCACGTCAGCGGAAAAGAACTATGCGCAGTGCGAGCGAGAAGCGCTAGCTCTGATGTTTGGTCTGAAAAAGTTCCATCGCTACCTGTATGGTAGGGAGTTCACTCTCTATACAGTCCATCAGCCACTGCTTGGGATACTGGGGCACGATAAGCCTGTACCTACGCTAGCGGCAGCTCGAATGCAAAGATGGGCAATGATTCTTGCAGCCTATAGGTACAAACTCAAGTACCGTAAAGGAAAAGATGTCGAGGTGGCTGATGCTCTGTCTAGACTCCCACGACCGATGACAACAGCTGACGACCCTGCTGAGTGTCTTTTGTTGTTTGACAGTACTCCCTTGACCGCGGAAGACGTAGCTAGAGCTACAAAACGTGACTTGACCTTGTCTCGCGTAGCTAACTACGTTCTGAACGGATGGCCTGCCCAAAGTAGCGAAGAGCTAAAACCGTACCATGTACGACGTGACGAGTTGTCATTTGAGCAAGGCTGCGTCACCTGGGGCTCAAGGGTGATTGTACCTGAAAAGCTGCAGTCACAGGTTTTGGCACTGTTGCATGAGGACCATCCAGGTGCTAGCCGCATGAAAATGCTTGCCAGAAGTTTTGTATGGTGGCCAGGGCTAGACCTAGAAATCGAGAGCTACGTACGACAGTGTCGCGTATGTCAGTCTGTTCAGAACGCTGCTCCACCTGTACCGTTACAGCCATGGAGCTATCCAACTAAGCCGTGGCAACGAGTACACGTGGATTTTGCTGCTAAAGAAGGCCATGTCTTCCTAGTACTGGTGGATGCTTTCTCGAAATGGATCGAAGTGTGGTCCATGTCTTCCACCACTACTGGTAAAACACTCGACAAATTGCGAAGTGTATTTGCGGCTTATGGGCTACCAGAGGTACTGGTGAGTGATAACGGACCTCAGTTTGTTTCAGATGAGTTCTCTGAGTTTATGAGGGTGAATGGCATCAAGCACGTTAAGACGCCACCCTATCATGCTGCCTCGAACGGCGCAGCAGAGCGTCTCGTGCAGACCACAAAAAAAACTCTGCTGAAGCAATTGTTAGACGAGAAACAGAGTGGCAAGAAACACTCTTTGCTCGAGCGTTTGGATAGCTTTTTACTGAGCTATCGAAACACCCCAAACAGTACCACTGGTCGCACTCCAGCCGAGCTGTTTTTGAAGCGACAGCCACGAGTGAAACTTTCTTTGCTTAAACCCGATTTTGTAAAAGCCATGCAAAACAAACAGCAGCACCTGAAGGAACAGAGTGATGCGTCGCGAGGTGCTAACCGGTCTTTTGTTGTGGGTGATACTGTGTTGGTCAAAACGGTGCGAGGCGAGCTAGTGTCATGGGAAGAAGGTGTGGTGACTCAAGTCGTCAGTCCTGTGACATATTTAGTGAAAGTGGCGCAGGTTGTGCGGTTCACACACGCCGACCACATCCGAGACCGCCTTGCAAGCCCGACGTCCCTTGCTGCACCGCCTACGCCGGAGGAGCCTACGCTCCCAGATGTTCCGGTGCCTCGAGAAACCCAGCCGATGGTGCCACAAGTTGCTTCTGCTGCTATGCCAGCGGACTCTCAAGCCGGCAGTCAACAAGCTACACGGACGCGTCAGCAGCCGCTTCCACCACCGAGTTCCACAAGTGCGCCAGTGACGACACCGGAGCCTTGTACTGAGGCTCCGACTTCCAGAAGAAGTACGCGAGTGCGGCGTCCACCGGACAGGTACAAACCGGAGGACTTCCGAAGCTGATGTGAGGGGGAAGGAATGTAGCAGCGTGGCGCTGCAAGTCACGGCGCACCACGGCGCATCGGCTGTGCGCACCCCGGTCACGGATGTCACGTGACAAGCGCCTATAAGTATAGCACGTTCAATAAAGAAGCGCTTTTTGCCCGTTGGAATGTCGTCTGCTCAAGTTATCACAGTTCCCATACAGTCCCTTGGCCTTCGCATTTACTCTAGCATATTTCATTTGTTTTCGGGGGCTGCTGAAAAGACCACTAAACTTCAAACCAGCTTTCAACATTTTTTTTTCTTTTTAAATATGAGACATCTTGCGACAGTCTCCTTTTTTTCTGTACTGCGATCAGTATCCTGGATACCCCTCTCCTCTTCAACAGGGTACCTGCCCCATCTAAGGCAGATAATGATCGATACCCTGCTGCTCACAGTCCTTCAATTAGTTTTGTGAAGCTATCTGCCAGTGTGGGAAAACAACTTTTGCAGTGCTGCACCCAGACATGAAAGAGCAATACCCCTCTTGATTGCTTTCAAATAGGCTCGCTCAAAGAAATGCATTTTAGACTACAAGTTGCCCCATTCAAAGGTAATCAAGAGAGGTATTGCTCTTTCATGTCTGGGTACGGCACCGCAAAAGTCGTGCTTTCGCACCCCCCATTGATAGCTTCAAAAAACAAACAGATAAGCAGACAGCTTATCTTCTTTGCCGTGCTCTTGAAGTCTCCTTGCACATAAAGTTTATTAGCTAATGAGCCAGAGACTTTCCTGTTCTTTTTTTTTTGTGGCACTAACTTTTCTACATACACCTTAAAAGACAACAAGATACTTACACGACCATCAGCCATGTATGTAAATTCTGCAGGGCATGAGCCAGTCAACGCTGAAATTAAAAATCAGTCAAACATTTAGGTAAATTACCCTCGACACAATTCCCAACTTTGTTTTCTCAAAAGTCATGCATGCAAGCAGGAGGAAATAAAATCAAACAAGATCACAAAAGTTTCATAGGGAGGTAAATTTTTTTTCAAGTGGCAAGAGTAAACTTACCTGCAACAGGACCCACAGCTTGAGGCGCTTGTGCCAGCCCTCCATGTGCTGCAAAGAATTAATGCAGGTCAGTGTGTCTCATGAAGAAATGCGGTATACACAGAGTCAAAACAATGGTCATAAAACTATTGGCCCAAAAACTCCATGCAGCACGCCTCGGATAGCTACATAAAGCACACTCAGTAAAAAACTGTCTAAATGTCAACTTACCTGCACCAGTACTGGCACAAGAAGCACTCGCAGCCCTCGAAGCACTTGCAGCCCCGGCTTGTTTAGCTGTAAATGTATGCAGTGCACTGAGAACGCTGGGAACACTGTGCAGCTGCAGCATTTGCTGTAGGTGTAAACAGTGCACTCAGAGCAGTCAGTTTAAGATGCAAAAATCTGCGTAAATGTCCACTCACCGGTGATCGAAGCACTTGTGCAAGCAGCTTGGCTGTGGCTGCTTTGGCTGCCTTGGCTAGCTGTGAATATATGCAGTAAATAAAATATATTATGTTTCACGTGTAAAAGCTGCACAAATGCCAACTTACCTTCTACGGAGGATCTCTTTTTCATATTTGTTTTAACCAGCAGCCCCGGGTTTGCTGTAAATATATATAATATATTAAGAATCAAGTGGTCATATCAAAGGGTCATATGTCCGGCCAACTTACCCTCTGCTCTGGGTTTCAAGCCCTGTGCAGCTCGAGGCTCGGCAACCACATCAGCCTCTTCTGCTGTATTATAAAAGTAGCTATGCTTCAAGAATGCGAAGTAGTCATGCGACTGTTGCCCCTCCTTAGAATCTTATTACGTACTAAACCATTGCAACATTAACTTAAAACCTCCCAAGCACTCTAAGCATGGGTTAATTACAAATAATGTATGCCAACTCATACATTCCGGTGTACAGCTGGGTAAATATTTATATATGCCAAGCAAGTTAGTCTTGGGATAGACCTGTAGGATGAAATCAAATCAGACAGATCAAATCACGTAGATGCAAATTTGCTAGCTCTGCGACACTCATACCATCAAAAACCTTACTCATACCTGGACTGCCATGATTCAGAGCTGCCTTCTTGTTCTGGTTCTGCTGCTCTTCCACTGATAAAACAATTTAATGAAAATTTATTTATAAAGTACAATTGATCACATTTTTAGGGCTTAGCTAGATTAAGGCAGACATTACATATTGTAATTAACAACTTGCAGAGTACACCCTATTATGTAATAGGTTCAAAAGCAAAACGGGCAAGCAAGAGCTAACTCAGTCTTACTCACTTGTGAAGAGCTTGGAGCCTAGGAGTGCCTGCTGGGCACGCACTTGTTCTTGCAGGAAGACGTTGTCTTCCCGCAGCTCCTTGCACCTGGCCTTCCAGTATTTCGTCATCTTTCTGGCTTCCTGCAACTCGCTGCTGGAAACCAGCGAGTCATCGGAGTCCGATGTGCTGGAAGCCCGCTGTCTTTTCTGCTGTACATTATTTTGAAACATACAAAAAACGCTGATTAATGCCATCCTGCTAGGATGAGAGAGGGTAACATAGATTTTGAAATGTCACACAATTCGCAATACTCACTGTGAGGGGGTTGATACCAGAATTCTTCCGGTGAGCTTGGTTCATCTGGTTCCGAAGGATAGCTTCGTAGCTATCTTTCTTGGCAGCAGCCTGATTGGATTTCTTCTTTTTTGCTGCCTGTGAGTGAAAGTGATGCGATAAATGATTACAATTAGTTTGGCCAGAGCAGCCCAATCAAATGACGTAGCAACTTGCTGGCAAGGGAACTAAGTAAGTGCCAAACATTGGGCGCGTTAAGTCCGTGCTCCGGAGCATGAGAGTTTGACGCTCTTGCACTAAACAGACAGGAGTGTCATCGGAGACTAACACTTGAGCGCGCTCTTCATGCACCAAGAATTTCTCGGAGCGCGAGTGACTTCTTCGCGCACCGTATGTGACGTCACGTAAACAAACAAGATGGCTGCGCTGCTGTCGAGACCGTCGAGATGAAAGGCGTAGCCAGACCGCTGCTCCTTTTCAGTTGATTAGTGCTTAATCTAGCAGGTAAAAACAATTTGATTTGAAAGCCAAGACAGCAATTAGCGTTCTGAAACAGAAATTTATCTATCAAACAGTCGAGTGCCGATTGTACAGCGACAGAAAAGTTGTTAAAATGAGGAGACATTCAGACCGCTGCTTCTTTTATAATGCTCAGCCCAGTGAATAAATATGCTTTGATAGTATTCAGTGGTGGTCTATTTACATATTATTTACAGGAGAAGACTGCCGAGATCGGAGGTGAGCTACGAGCCCTGCGAACATGTCGCTAGCTCAATCAGGAACAGTGCGTGAGGCGTGGCCCGTGCTGAGGCCGCGCGTCTTGCCTATTGCAAAATGAAGACGACGAAGTCCCATCGTAACACTTCCCCCTTCTCGATAAAACTAATCAGTTTCTCGAAAACGCACTGGTTTGCTTGTAACGCGCTTGGGGCGTGTTCTGGGTAGAGGAACCGGAACAGACGAGGAGGATGGTCCAGGAGAACTTTCTGATGTCGGTTCAGTATTCGGCATAACAGAGCCCTGTCCCTTGATGATCGGTGTAGGCTCTGGAAGTGAAAACGCACCAGATGTGTTCGCTGGTGAGAATTCCGTCTCTGAAGATGCCTGGCCTGAGGCACATACATCTTTTTGTTCATCGGGATCCGAGTCGAAAAGTGGATAACTTGAAATTCGAGACGATGTTGAACTGCATTGTTCCGAATGTTGGGCTAACCGACTTCGCATGTCGTCAATGTGTCTTCTTTGTATTCTTCCATCTGAAGTCGTTACTTCAAATGATCGGGAACCAACCTGACGGAGCACCTTAGCTTCTATCCATTTCGGTTGTCCCGCGAATCCCTTAATAAAGACGGCTTGTGAATTTCTGAACTTAGCGTCTTTGTAGCCTTCTTCACCTTCCTTACCCCGTGGATGAATATAATCCAATGGGCAAAGCAATTGTCGTCCGAACATCAACTCTGCTGGTGTTTTCCCAGTTGTTGAGCTTGGTGTTGTATGTTGCTTATACAAGAACCGTGCCAGTCGGCAGTTCAGACTTCCTTCTGAAAGTTTGCGGAGCGACTCCTTCGTTTCCCGAACCATTCGTTCGGCTTGGCCGTTGGTTGCTGGGTGATAGGGGGCGCTTGTGATGTGCCGGATGTTATTGGCTTGCAGGAATTGATTGGTTTCCTTGGCTAAAAATGGCGTGCCATTGTCGCTGCAGACGACTTTCGGGATGCCAAATGTGGCATACATGGATCGGAGGGCGTCAATGACGGTGGCAGCAGTTGCTGACGCGCAGATGTGGACTTGCAACCATTTGGAATACGCGTCAACAACTATCAGAAGCATCTTTCCTTCAAAAGGACCGGCGAAGTCCATGTGAAGTAGACTCCATGGCTCCTGAGGGCGTTCCCAAGTTGGACTTGGTGCTGGAACAGGAGCACGTACTTGTTGCTGACACTTTGAGCAGAGTTGGACGCATCTGTCGATTTCTTTGTCGAGGTCAGGCCACCAAAGATGACTTCGTGCACAGCGTTTCATGGCTGTTACTCCTGGATGGTTTGCGTGCAGGAGTTTCATGGCTGCTGGCTGTGCCTCCTTCGGAATAACCACACGTGATCCCCATAAGACGCATCCCTTGTGGGTCGATAGCTCGGTAAATTGCCTCATATAGCTTGCGAACTGTTTTCCGGTCATGCATTTGGAGGCTCCGGACTGGACGGCTTGGTAGACCTTCGCCAGGAGGGGGTCCTTTGCCGTAAGACGGGCTATGTCCTTTGCTGAGAGGGATGGTGTCTCGAGCGCCTCAATCATAAGGATGTCTGCTGGACCGTGTGGTTCGTCCACGTTGCTGGGCAGTGGAAGACGGCTCAGGGCATCCGCATTTTGATGGAGTGCACCGGGTCGGTAAACCAGGTTATAGTCATAGGTTTGGAGATGCAGGCACCAGCGTAGCATCCTCGGGGACAGTACCAGTGGCATCTGCCTGTCTGAGTTGAGGATGCCTAGCAGGGGCTTGTGGTCAGTGTATATTGTGACGGACCTTCCAGCAATATACTGATGAAAGTGTTTAACTCCGAACACTATGGCCAACCCTTCTTTGTCAAGCTGGGCATAGTTCCTTTCACTCTTACCGAGCGTTCTAGACCCGTAAGCAATGGGAGCTTCGCGGCCTTGGTTGTCTAGCTGGGCAAGTACGGCTCCTACACCGTAGGGAGAGGAATCGCAAGACAAGAAGAGCGGCTTATCAGTATTGTAGTGCGCCAGGACCTCTGCTGACGAGAGCAGGTCCTTCAGCGCTTGGTAGTCCTTATGTCGGGACTCCCATTTCCATGGCACATTTTTGTCGAGCAAGCGATGCAAGCTTTCGGCCACAGTTGCTCGATGTCTGAGGAACCGATTGTAGAAGGCAATCATTCCAAGAAATGATTGTAGTTCCGACTTGTCTTTTGGCTCTGGCGCTTCTACAATCGCCTTGACTTTTTCTTGTGTCGGCCGGATGCCTGCAGCACCAACTCGGTATCCGAGGAATTCAACCTCCGACATGTCGAAATGGCACTTTTCTTTCTTGACCTTGAGGTTAGCTTGACTCAAACGTCGTAGAACTGCTTCGAGTCGCTTTAAGTGCTGGTCCTTGGTGGAGCCAAGGATGAGGATGTCGTCAAGGTATGTGGCGACGCCCGGTAGCCGAGCAAGACATACGTCCATAAATTTTTGAAAGATAGCCGGGGCTACAGATACGCCGAAGGGTAAACGCTTGACGCGGTACAATCCCTTGATCGTATTGATGCACAATACCTCAGACGTAGCTTCATCGAGTCGAAGCTGCTGGTAGGCTTGCGCCAAGTCAATCTTTGAAAAGTGCTTTCCTCCACTGATTGTGGTAAGGAGCTCTGGTACAGTCGGCAGTGGGTAGGTCCCAGGCTTGACAGATGCGTTGACTGTGCTACGATAATCACCGCAAAGTCTTAGCGATCCATCCTTCTTCCTCACTACCACTACTGGAGTTGCCCACTGAGAAGATAGGACAGGTTCTATTATTCCTTGTTCTTTCAAGCGATCCAGCTCCTTCAGCACAGAATCCCGGATAGCGAATGGAACTGGGCGGCACTTCAGGAACTTGGGTGGTGCGTCCGGCTGCATTGGAATAGATATGGGTGACCCTTTGTGACCGGTCTGTAGTTCAGTGAAAACATCTTGGTATCTATCCAAGACGTTCTGCAGTGAGGTGGAGGCCACAGCGTTCACTACAGAAAGGGAAATGTTCAACGGTGCAAACCAGTCCCTGCCGAGGAGACTTGCTCCTTGTCCTTTTACAACACGCAGAGTGAGTTGGACTGGCTGCGTTCTTGCGGTGGTTGTTTTCAGGACGTTTACCTGAATTTTTCCGAGAACTGGCAGCCTTTGCCCTGACCAGGTGTACAGTTGCTTTTCTTCAGACTGAAGCTTCGCTGTTCCTTTAGACCATAGTCTGCGAAAGGTTACTTCACTGATGAGCGTGATTGCAGCTCCCGAGTCAACTTCCATTTGCAAAGTTTTACCGTCGATGGTGAGGGTAATCTGAAAATGGGGTCGACTTGGTGATTCCTCATACGTTTTGTAGAGGGTGTAAAGTTCTGCATCATGGTCAGCACTCGACTCACTCACTTGATGAGTTTTCTTGCTTTCTCCTCGTCTTTTCTTTGAGATACAAGCCTTCTCAAGATGTCCAATCTTTTTACAGTAATTGCAGGTGCTCTTGCGATAGCGACAGTCCTCCGGTCGATGATTATCGTTGTTGCACCTGTAGCAGCGATTTTGGGCCCGATTTTTCGGCTTTGCCGTTGATCCAGAATCGCGTTGTTTGGAGGAGTTTTGATGGATCTTGTCGACATCGTCTCTCATTTTCGACTGATGAGTTGTCGTTGATTCCATTGCCTTAGCCAAATCAAACGCTTTCTGGAAAGTAACGGCTCTTTCAGAGAGTAATCGCTGCTGGAGGTGAACGTCTCGAAGGCCACATATGAAGCGGTCGCGTAGCATAACTTCCAGTGGAAGGACTGTAGATGTTACTAACTGGTCCACCGACGCTTGCTGCATGGTGCTCCCGGCGCCACTTGCCGATTGTTGGGTAATGGAGCCGCTCGGCGCTTGTGCGGTTGTCGTGGCAGATGCCACGGTCGTGACCGTTGTTGTGCCGAAGTTGCAATCTTTTGCAAGAGCTCGCAGAGCATCGACGTATTCGGGAATGGTTTCGTGAGGCTCCTGATCACGCTTGTGAAATCGCCATCTCCCGAGTAGTTCCGATGGACCAGACTCGAAATGCCGTGATAGACGCTGCATAACGTCGTCGTAGGAGACCCCAGATGGCACTTGTGGGTGAAGCAAATCTCGAACCTTGCCGTAGGTTTCCTCCCCACAGAGGCTGAAGAGTAGCGCTCGCTTCTTTGCCGGGTCTGTCACGTCGTTGGCCTCGAAATAAAATTCGAGCCGTTCCTTCCAGGACGTCCAACTCGTACCGGGAGTGTAGTCCGGAATTCGACCTTGCGCCATCCTCGCTGAACCATTCAGGTTTATCCTCGTCGCCAGTATTCAGTGGTGGTCTATTTACATATTATTTACAGGAGAAGACTGCCGAGATCGGAGGTGAGCTACGAGCCCTGCGAACATGTCGCTAGCTCAATCAGGAACAGTGCGTGAGGCGTGGCCCGTGCTGAGGCCGCGCGTCTTGCCTATTGCAAAATGAAGACGACGAAGTCCCATCGTAACAGATAGAAAAGCCGAAACATCAGTTACCGTCAAGTAAAAGGTTTGTTTGTGCGTTTTGCTTGAAAACGAATTGATCTTTTGAACGAGTGTGCCGATAGCTCGGCGACAGAAAAGTTGTGATGAAAGGACAAACCACTGCCCTGCTTAGAATGCTTAGCCCAGTTGCAGAGAACAGAGATACTTAGATTGGGAAGCCGAAACACCATTTACAGCGTTGCGGGAAAGGTTTGTTCATGCATACCGCCTAATAACAAATTGGTGTGATATCGAAAGACGGTGTGCCGGTATCTGCGTATACCTTCCGTCTCGCTGCGAGACGGAACCGACAAAACCACGGAATCTCTGACAAATTTGAGGGTTTCCTGCGTCGACAAGCGGGTTCAAGAATGTTGTCTTTAACTTAATTCGGAACAGCATGCATGGTCAATAAATGGAACGGCCCAGGTAACCTTCCACATCTGTGCACGAAGCGAGTCTTCCAACCTTTCAGGAATATTAAAACGTTCGTAAAACTTGATAACGTCGCCATCTCTTTTGCTTTACACTTTGCCGCTCCACTTGGGCCTAATTATTTATCTTCGAAATATTTTCGGCTTCTGCCGTATTCATGATTGGAAGAAGCTCATGTGGCTCGTCGATAGTTTCTGGGCTTCCGGACGAGTTTTAGAACTTACTCGATCTAACTCTAGGGTAAAGGTGGTTATCGAAAACCTACCCGCGTCCAGCGTTTCTCCATTTTTGTTGTCACGTGACACAATCCGCCAGGGTAACTCGGATCCATTCGAGTAGGTTTGGAACGTAGCCTCGGTGTGTCGCGCTCCTGTACGCTATGCATCGTTTAATTGCTGCGCTCGGAGTATGAAACTCGGAGCGTCGGAGTAGAACCAAAGGAGTGCGGACTTAACACGCCCATGATTTTCTTCGGAACTGAAACGGGGGCCGAGGCATCTCAGGAGGCGGTCGTCCGTTTTTTTTTTTTTTTTTACATTTCTGATCCGGTTGAAATGAATATGGAACTAGCTGAAATGAAGTTCAGGATTGAAAATTACCTGTTTCCTTTTCTGAGTGGACGTCTCGTCCTCTGAGCTCTCATCCACCGTCACTTTGGGAACTGGAACTCTCTTAGGGCATTCCCTCACCCCTTCTCCGGAAACTGCAAAACGAGGGGAAAAAATTAATTAATTAATCCAAGCATACTCAATTGAGTAAAGCTATACGCACTCCGGAGTGCACTTCGGATGAAAATGGCTATACACACTCCGTGGAGAGCTCATGCCGCTCGGGCCACCCTTATCGAACAGCGCGTGTATCACTGGGAAGCTAGTTAACACAGCCCCCCGCCTGCGTTCACACCGCTTTGCGGCGACAGTGTGTGGCTGCTAATTACAAAACTTAACCAGTACACGCCACTTCGCGACGTCCGACCGGCAACACAAGCCCCGCTGTCCCTGATCGCACCTCCAGAAAGGGAGTCCCATACCATTTAGTTCTCCGAAGTTTCGTCGACAATTTTCGGGTTTTTAGTGTTCATCGCAAAAAAGAAATGCCGTAAATATCGCCAAATACCTCGACAAAACAAAATGTCCGAGAAGAAGAAAAAAAAGAGAAAAAAGTAGGCCCATTGTCGATCGATTAGGGGTTGAGACTGGGCAAAATGTTCAAAAAAGGGAGAAAAAAAAAATGTAGGCCCACTGCGGATTGAACCTGCGCCCACTTGCGTATAAACCGGGGACCTTAACCCCTATGCTACGCCATCGCTCAATAGAAAGAAAGAAAGAAAAAAAAAGTTTTCTTTGTATGTTTATACAACCTTGATAGGGAAGACTAGATAAGAACTTAAGCCAGTGCACTGCAACCACTAACCTGGGATTTTTAACGATCACGCAGAAGTGATCACACGAACACGTGCCGGTACGAAACTCATCCAGATCGAAACGGGCGGGGGTGGTGGGGAATCGAACCCAGGAGGTTCCCAGCACAAGCCGCGCTCCGAGCTGAGACGCGTTAGCCCACTCGGCCACTTCCTTCCCTTCAGAAAACTCGTTGTGACAATTTGTTTTATACGAGTTAAGCGGAATGCGTATAGCCATTTCCGTCCGAAGTGCACTCCGGAGTGCGTATAGCTTTACTCTTTTTAATTGGTGCTAAGGGAACCTAAACGAGGCGTAACAATGAGTGCTTACCGCCGAGCATCAGAATTTGTGCGGAGTAGTTTCCTGTGTTTTCACTGTCCACTTCGTCCTTCCAGAAGACCGTGTATATAGCTTTGTTGTCGAAGTCCATCTTGTGTTGTGGAGCAAAATTGCGGATATCGCGCACGGGTAGCACATGGCGGCGGTTGTCCTGGTCTTTTAGAAATCGCACCAGCGCATACATCGCGTGAAAGTCGTAAAAGATGAAAAAATACTACGAGAAAATATGTTAATTAAAGCACAAAAAAGACGGAGAATGATTGCCGCAAGAAAACAGCACTAAAGAAAAAGAAAGGCAAAAACACAGAAACAAAGTTCGGGAAGATAGGGCACGTGCGATAAGGAAATCAGGGAGATCAACGAACAACCAAAAGTGCGTACATAACAACGTTGGTACATAAACGTTGCCAGATGCCAAACTCCATAGAACCCAACTCCAAGCAGCTTCACCAAAATTGTTGATCGTATCGTTTTTTTTATCAAAATTTCATGAAATTATATATTAACCTAATATGCTCTTTATTTTATGTTTTCAAGAATAGTAAATAAAAATATCTATCAAACCTCATTTGACAAGGCGCCATTTAGTCATATAATCAGCCGACAGAATCCGCATGCTTCTGGATTTGGATTTTGCCGTTGCGTACGAGCAAATGCGAGGCACTTACGGGCTTACGGCACTTATGTGCGAGAGCTCAGGTGAAGCTAAGGCACCTTAGGGGTTGAGTCTGTAGAAACGGGTCAAACCACCGACATGGCTGAACCACCAAAACGGCGGAAGCTCTATTTAGAGCCGTTTTTTGACGGGGCGGGCCTTCCGAAGACGACGGAATACAGATCAGATTGTGCCGAGAGAAGTCGCGCACAAAGGATACGTGATGACTGCGGTGTGTCGACCACACCTGCCAATGATCCATCGGCTCCTGGCAACTGCTCCCTAAACAACAGTGCTCCCGATGATAGGCTAGCTGTGCACGACGTCGAGGTAGGTGACTACGAACAGTCTGGTGGCCTGGCGGCAGACGAGCAAGATGACTGCGAAGTATCTGGCAGCCCGGTCGTGGACGAGCAAGATGACTCCGAAGAATGCGGCAGACGGGTGGTGGACCAGGAAGAGAGCAGCGGCACATTCCCTCCCGACTCCGACTTATCGGTAGAAGACCTAGTCACACTGGTCATGGACTTAGCGGTCACTTCGGTATTGCCGTGGACACAGCTCGAGAAACTCGTGAAGTTTGTGTGTTTCCTTTTGAAAAGAAACGATCTTCCTGACACGAAGTTCCTCTTCAAAAAATTCGCAGGAATTTCGCTGGAGGGCTTAACATTTCATTTTTACTGTCCCAACTGCATGGTTCTCCTCGCTGAATGTGGAGGCGATCTTAAGGAGAGGCAGAAGGTGCAGATGACGTGTGGGAAGTGCAATGAGAAGTATACTGCAGAAGCTCTTACAAGAGATGGCAATTTTTTGTGAGCCTGCCTATCGAGCAGCAGCTTGCTTCTGTGCTCTCGTCCCAAGAAGTCGCCAGACCGCTTAAGTGCTTTTTGGAGAAGATGTCCGAGCGTGGTGACCGAGCTGTCGTGTCTGACATTACAGATGGAGCGTTATACCGCAAGCAACGAGAAGAGCTCAACCTCAGCAAAATGGACCTATCGATGACAATGAACTCTGATGGTAGCCCTCTGTTCAATTCGTCAAAGTTTTCCATTTGGCCTGTCCAGATGACGATCAACGAGCTGCCTCCACATCTCCGAAACAAGCATGTGACCATATCTATCCTCTGGTATGGTCAGTGTCATCCCGATATGACTATGGTACTGCAGGCATTCACCAAGCAAATGAACTTACTTGCCCAGACGGGCGTGGAATGGACCTGCGATGGGGAGACCCTCCACTCAAAGGTATAATTGTACTGAAAATTGCAGTTTTGGTTCTCATTTTAGCCGTATGTGTTCTGGAGTTTTCACCGAGCCAAAAGAATCAAACTTGTTACTTCAAACCCACAAGGAATTATTTTCATTTTCTCAAGTGCCTTTTTTACATTTGTTTTTTGCATCTCTCACTCTTATTCTTTCTAAAGCACACATGTCAGGTGCAGGTCAGCACCTAGTGTGACAGATAAAGCTTCCTTCAAAAACTATTTGGCAAGTTGAGTGTTTTCCTAGTAAAAGTTCTAAAGCGCATACCACCGAAACAGTTATTTTCATGTTTTTTTTCTGTGGTAACAGTTTTCAGTCTACTTGAGGGCAGTTCCTCTGTGATTTTTGGTTTCTTTTCATGGAAAGCATTTAATGCATTCATTTGTGTGACTGCTGTAAGGATACACTTTTCATCTCTATAAATCAGTGAGGTGACATGGCATACTAGGGTGATTTCAGATAAGGTCGACCAAAAGATGGCTTGTCGACATTTTCAAATCAACTGATGTTTTTATATGTTATTGTCTAGTGTCTGGTATGAACGAATCCAAACTTAGTTTTGACTAGAAAAAATACTTGGGGACAGGAAAAATCGTAAGGCATGAAGTGGTGGACAGTTGCATTAACGCGCACTGATGGAGGGGGCCCGTTTGAGAGTGAATAACTAAAGCGATAACATTAGGAGAATGCTAATACGTTTTAGGCGCAAACTATGGGTATAGCTTGCTTGTAATATAAAGTAATCATATTTATTTAAAATTTATTTATTTTTCTAAAAATTGACAAACATGCCTGCTCGAACGACAAATGGCAAACTTTGGAGGTCTGTATCTCATGAAATAATTTAATCATTATGATATAATTTGCAGATATTCTTCTACTAATATATAGCTAATATATAAAAAATAACTAAGGTATCTGTGTGATACAATAGTTAGGATATATTTAGTCAAACATGGAAAAAAAAAGTCAAACAAAGAAAAATTCCGATGCGAATAAAAAAAAAACACCACCCTCGATTTTTTTTAAATTTAGGTAACCTGTTATACTCTATTTCGGCATTCATTTCCATTAAAAACATGTTGCATCATTTTATTGAGAAAGAAGATACAACTCCCCAAAGTAGGGTCCTTTTTCAAAGCCTACACTTAGCAGTGTTTTATACAAGAACTGACTCTGAGTTCCAGTTTCATGAAACCAACACAGATCTTTTATATATTTTTATTCAGATGAGGCCAATGATAACTAAAGAAATCGTTCACACACTTAAATTAAGGAGAAACTACTGTGTACAAAGAGGTATCATATTACGGACTAGTGATCCGAGAAAAGATCATGCAGCCATCGGCCACTAGGAACTTTGTTTACTTTATTCTCCTGCGACACTATATGCCAGGGGTGGCCAAGCTGACCCGGCTTCAGAGCCGGAAACAAAACCAAGAAACCTCCAAGAGCCGCGGGGAGGGGGGGGGGGGGGGGAGGGGCAATCTCTTGTCTAGAGCAATAAACGAAACTCGAACTACTTTCAATCTATCCGGGTCAAAAACAGTCCAACTGCACGTAAGGTAGCAGTAGCACAAGAGTACCAATCCGCTACCTGTCTTTCGATTTAAAACATGTTCCATCCATTTTTCTTTTGGGGGAAGCTAGTGCTCGTGTGACCGGGAGGGTGGCGGGGGGGGGGGGGGGGGGTAGGGAGGGTTTTGCGAGCCGCACTTTGACACGCGAGGAGCCGCATGCGGCTCGCGAGCCGCAGCTTGGCCACCCCTGCTATATGCTATTCCCTCTTCCGCTCTTCCTTCATCTCTCTCTCTCTCTTTCATATATATCCCTGATATATATCCAGAACAAAAACATGTTCAAGCATTCCCTTTCTGCGTGGTAGTGTTCTGTGGCTAGCAAAAATCATTTCCTCGCTAAGCTCACGATTATGGCAAAATAGTTGCCGGAAACCGCAGACGACACTCGTCGCTAGTTCTGGCAAAACGGCCGATACAATCTTTTTTTCGCATTTCCCCGCTCGCTGTCAAGGACAAGGGGGTTCGCTTCAACCAGCAAAACATGGCCGCCGACGCCTGTTTACTGAGCAGTCATGCCTGTCGCCATCTCACTCGCTGGCGTCACGGGCGATAATATCAGGCACAAAGGGGCACACCAACCGGCAGCATTATCCCCAAATACTCGAGCCTCGCGTAAATACATAGAGTGTAAATGCTGTCGCCATGTTATCGTAGTAAGACCGCCCCCCCCCCTCCCCCAACGGGGGACTGCAGTACGCGACGGCGTACTAACACAACGGCGACGATATCGACATCGCGGGCTCCGAATTTTCCCATAGTTCTACTCCACGGGCATTTCTCGAAACGCTTGATATTGTGTACGCCCGCCTGGAAGGATTTCAGGCGCGTAGTTAAGATAAGGCGGTTCTCCGCGGCAAAAGAAAGCAATTTCACAAAAGCTTAAAAGAGGCGGCGACGCGTGTGCGGTGAACGCTTGTAGTTTTGGTGTAGACAGGGTGTGTGTGTTCTCGTTGTTGACACCAGCCGGCGATAAGGCACTGCAGGCGGTAGCTCAGTACAGCAAGGGCTAATCCGAGTGACCATCAACGTAACCCCACCGCCAACCCCTCGCGAACCGGTCGCCGACATGGCTCAGGCTGTGTCTTGAACCACGTGGTACAAGCTCGGGTGCTTTCATATCAGCGCGTGGAGGGACGACAGTGCAATTCCGGAAAGTCTTTTTCGAAGGCCGCTGACCACAATTTTTTGTCTGGAGACTTTCCCTCTTTCTTCCTTTGACGTGGATCAAGCTTTGCCGACAGCCTCAGTTGTGACCTCTCTTTTCAAATGTACGTTTGCAGTGAGTGAGCTCCTCAGCCTCGTACTTGTCACTTGTGCACCCAGTAGTTCTTTCACTTGGCAATTATATGCCATCAGTTGGGGTTTAATTTCTATTATTTATGTATACATTATGAAGACGTCCTGGAGCTCCGAACGAGTGTTTTGTGCAGATTACTTTTGCAAACACAAAAAGACTATACCAAAGCAGCGGAATTTTCGAAGTGTTGGCGAGTTGGACCTAAACTCGTTGAAGCAAATTCTTCCGCCTGACTGTTCCACCAAAGTGAGTGCGACGGGGTCGTCCGAACCAACATGCTCCACATGCACTGAGTGGGTGGACAACTTTCGGCAGGCCTTTGAAACCGCCACCTCTCTCCGGGAACGTTGTCAACTGCTTACACTCCTGCCGTCAACACTGACGAAGAATGAGGTTCAAAAGATGATTCCACAGGCCTCAATGTACCTCATCAGTAAATCCCGAAAACTCAAGGAAAAGCATGGCGTGTGGTATGAGCCGGATCCTTACACGAGGTGCAAGGTGAGCCCTGAGAACCTGTCTGCTGCCCTAGAGTACTTCACGAAAGACGAGCTACAATGTTCGCGCCAAAGTCCCAACCAGAAGGACGTCATCTCTGTCATGCTCAACGGAGAGAAAACGTTCGTGCCAAAGCGCGTCATGACACGCTCAATACGAGAGGCCTTCCGTATATACAAAGACAAGCATCCCGATTCCGGCGTTGGGCTAACGAAATTTTATTCGTTGCGCCCTAGATGGGTCCAATGTATTCCACACCAGGAAGTGTGCGTTTGTGTGCGCTGCGCCAATTATTATCTTTGTATTGCCGCTCTAGAGAACGTTACAGGCTCAACATTCAACACTGGTGAAATGAACTCGGCATTTCTGTGCGACCCAGCAACAGAACTGTGCCTTCAAGGAGACTGTGATCACTGCCCAAAAGGCCAGTTTCTTTCACTCCAGGAACTTGATATCCCGGAGGATGAAGAGATTGTGCTTGCAACATGGGAGTCCGGCGACCTTGTGAAAATAACTTTGGAACCTGAGACTTTCCTAAAAGTCATCCAAGTGACGGTTGTAAGTTGGGTACTTCACAACCATATCCGGCAAACGCAAGGTAAAGCGATCTACGATGAAAAACAGTGCATGCAACGCGGGAGCATTGTCTTTCATTTTGACTTTGCTGAAAACTGGACCATCGTGCTTCCTGACGAAGTGCAAGCATATCACTGGAAAAAAAAACAAGTTTCGATATTTACATGTGTAGTGACGACAAGAAAATCTACAAACAGCTTTGCCATCATCAGTGAGGACCTGTGTCACGACGCCGCTCACGCTTGCTTGGCTCTAGAAAAAGTGAAGGAGTGGGTTGAAGACAACGTTGCGGTATACTCGTACGTGACGTACGTAAGTGACGGCGCCGCCAGTCATTTCAAGAATCGCTACCAGCTTCACCAATTTGCAAAGGACGATTGCCCACAAGCCCAGTGGTTATTTTCTGCATCTGGACATGGGAAAAATGCATGTGACGGAATTGGCGGACTCGTGAAGCACCAGGCCACGCTGAACAACCTGAGAGAACGCTCAGTAAGCGCAATTCAGACGGCCAGGACAATGGTGAGCGTTCTATCAAAGAAACTGAAAGGCGTGCATCTTGTATATCTGGACGAAAATGAGGTTGTTCGGTATCGTGAACAAAAAAAAAAAAGAAGAGTGGCTGACGGTGCGCGCCTTCCCTGGCATTCAGTCTTGGCACGCGTGGCGACTCAGCAAGTCATCAACAGAAGGGACCTGTGACGTATATGTAGCACGGACAGTCGGATCTGCTTGGAAGCAACTTTATTAAATGGGTACAGCGAGGAAAACCTTAGCGTAAAGTGCCGAATTTGATTTCCCAAGGACTGCTCATTTTGAATGCAGGGACATCTTATTTATCACATTTTTCTTCACGGGGTATTTAACCTACTGTATTTGTTGGTGGTTACTAATAATTTTTATCTGATCACTATAAAAAAAATCCCAAAATGTTATCCTCGAGCAGGATAAAATATATCGGCTTGCCACGATTCATTCATACACCGAGAGCATCGAAGCTGCTCCAGTTAGGCACTATGGCATCCGTCACCTGAAATTGTTTGTAATCGTAAATGCACAGCCAACCTAAATATCTTACTATTATATCTTTGTTTTTGTGTGTGGAAGTAAAGTTATTTATTTTACTCTAGATGTAAAATATACCGGAAGGTACAACTTCACACTGCATCATCTTTTCTGAAATCATTAGTCTCTAAGATGATACCACTTTGTACGCTTATGTAAAATGCTGTATATAGTTTCTCCTCCCTTTTACTGTGTGACCGATCGCTCTTTTTATCAATGACCTCATCTGAATAAATGTATATAAAAGATTTGTGCAAGTTTCATGAAACTGGAACTCAGAGTCACTTCTTGTATAGGACACTGCTAAGTGTAGGCTTTGAAAACGGACCCTACTTTGGGGAGTTGTTTCTTCTTTCACAGTGCAATGATGCAACATGTTTTTAATAGAAATGAATGCCGAAATAGAGTATAACAGGGTACCCAAATTTTAAAAAAATCGAAGGTGGTGTTTTTTTTTATTCGCATTGGAATTTTTCTTTGTTTGATTTTTTTCCCATGTTTGCCTAAATATATTGTAACTATTGTGTCACTCAGATACCTTATTTATTTTTTCAATAATAGCCATATATTAGTAAAATAATGTCTGCAAGTTATGTAATAATGATTAAATTATTTCATGAGATACAGATTTCCAAAGTTTGCCATTTGTCGTTCGAGCAGGCATGTTTGGCAATTTTTAGAAAACTAAATAAATTTTTAATCAATATTATTACTTTATATTACAAGCAAGTTGTACCCATAGTTTGTTTGTAAAAAGTTTTAAAATTCTCCTAATTTTTATTGTTTTAATTATTCACTTTCAAACTTGCCCCCTCCATCAGTGCGCGTTATTGCAACTGTCCACCTCTCCCTGCCTTACGATTTTTCTTGTCTCCAAATTTTTTTTCTGGTCAAAACTAAGTGTGGATTCGTTTATACCAGACACTAGACAATGTCAGATAAAAACATCAGTTGATTTAAAAATGTCGACCAGCCACCCTTTGGTCGATCTTATCTGAAATCACCCACTAATTATCAGGGAGTAATATCTAAAGCATGGAGAATGGCTCGTATTCCACATTTTGTTTCCTTCATGCGATAATAAAAAAAGCACATTTAAATTGAGTTACTTATTTTACAGGTGTACTGTCTCAACTGCTGCGCTGATTCCCCAGCCAGGGCCATCATGCAGAACATGATGCAGTACAACGGGTACTTCGGGTATGGCTGGTGCCTGCACCCAGGCACCTGGGTGCAGGCACGCCAAATAATAATAATAACGCCAAAAATACTAAGAAAGAAATTCACATTGCATTGATCAGGTTCATCAACTATGCACTGTCAGCTAGTAAAATATCTGGAGGTAGCTCATTCCATCCCGGTATAGTTCTCGGGGGAAAAAAAAAGAAAAGATTGTATAGTTCGACATTTTATTTCGCGCATTTTCTTCTCGTTATTCCTCCTGCTCGAAATATAATGGGGAAAATAATTTGATTTGTTGATTTTAGTTAAATCATTATTAATAGCTTAGATAATTTTAAGTATATTTTTCTGTCACCTTTTGTCAAGAGATTCAATACCCATACAAGCTTTCATCTTTGTCACACTTTCTGCTTGAGAATAGTTATTTACAATAAATCTAACATCACGATTTTGAATGCCCTCTATCTTGTCTATGATATATTTTTGATGCGGGTCGCATACTACACTTGCATATTCAAGGTGTAGTCTAACTAGTGAACGATGCACAGATATTGGTATCTCTTCTGATTATAGTAGGTATTATAATGTTTTCTCCTCAAATGTATTTAACAGGGACTGTCAAGTACCCTGTTTCTGCAGCAAGTGTGCCTGACAGGACAAAAGAGGGCACAGAGAGCAACATGGCAGAGGCTTTTGAGACCAGTGCACATGTTCGTGGCGTAAAGGGGCCATCGGCGTTGATAAACTTGCCGGCCTTCGACATTGTATGGAGCTTCAGCCCAGACTACATGCACTGTGTGCTGCTTGGTGTGGCACGGCAGTTTCTGGAGTTGTGGCTTTCCAATGTTGGTGCACCATACTACATTGGATCGCCACAACTCCTTAAGGACATTGACGAGCGACTGTGTCACATCAAGCCCCCACAGTGCATGGCACGTCTGCCCAGGTCTGTCCTTCTGCGGAAGTTTTGGAAGGCTTCCGAGTGGCAGCAGTGGCTGCTGTATTTCAGCTTGGTATGTGTAGACGGCATTTTACCCGAGCGTTACCTGAACCACTTCAGCCTGCTAGTGAGGGGTATCTTTTTGCTTCTCCAAGATGAGGTATCTACTGCCGACATTTCTGACAGCACAGACTGCCTGGTGCAGCTTGTTGTAGGCGTTCAATTTCTTTACTCGGCGAAAGAAATGACATCTAATGTTCATCTGTTGCTACATCTTGCAAAGAGTGTGGTGCTACAGGGGCCACTTTGGGCACATTCATGCTTCACTTTTGAAGCGAACATGGGGAGGCTGAAGAGCCTCGTCACCTCAGCGAAAGGTGTACCCCACCAAGTAATGACTCGTGTGATGATGGCACACAGAGTTAATGCATGCAAGGCGGTTGCAAGTCCTCCTGTTCGGGACTTTCTCGGGTGTGGAGCACCTGAGGAGGAGCCCATTGCCCTTCTTGGCAAGCCAAGACCTGTGGAGGGGGCTTTATTGAGATTGGTTGAGAGGCAAGTTCCTCAGCAGATCACTGGCCCTGTTGTGGAACACGACAGAGTTCGCATCTCTGGACGTCTGTTCCACAGCGAACAGTACCAGAGACCAGACAAAACTGACTGCACAGCTGTAAAGCTGTCAAACAATGTGTGCGCAAAGATTGAGCACATTGTATCTGTGAGCTGCAGTGACATGAATAGGGTCTTTCTAGTTACTAGGAACTATGTTGCCTCAGCGTCATTCGGCGCACCACTCATATTATAAAGGTTGAGAGGTGGTCGTCGCAGAAGGTGACTGAGATTAATGCTAGTGCAGTTGGATGCCTCTGGCTAGAGTGTAAGGGAAAGTTTTTTTTTTTTTTTTTGCAACCTTGTGAACCGTTTTTCAATCTTAAGCATTTTTTCTAATGAAATTGTTGTGCATATCAACAGGTTTCTTCACTCTGTTATTTATTCTAAGTATTCGTGCTTCCTAGATTTTTTTGTTTCCTAGGAAGGCCTATTTTTATCTTCTATTTTGATCTTGACTTTTCTGTCCGAAGATTTTGTGCTTTAGCTATATACTTTTATATCATGATCGTGTGCAGGTTGTGGTTAAGGTTTTGCTTTTGTCCCAGTTACTGTTGTGTTACTACAGAACTTTTTTTGGGGTGTTAGTTTTTGTGGGGTACAAGCACACTACAAACTGCACCAGGCCGTCTGTGCTGTCAGTAGTTTCGAAGGTAAATACCTCGTCTTGAAGGAACAGTAAGATATTTCTACTAGCAGGCTGAAGTAGGTTTGGTAGCGATCAAGGAAGCTGAGCTTTTGGCTGCACCTCATAATATTCCCATGTGGTCTAAATGAATATTTTTTTCCTTGGCTGGGGCACGCCAGTTACCCTTCATTGTCTTGGCACCAAACTTTTCTAATTCGATGTCTGTTCTTATAGTACTGGGCCTTTATGTGGCATGTATGTGTAGTGGTGAATTGAAGGCTCATACTCGCCATTTTCTTACACACCTAACCCTTGCTGTGACCTTGTCCAAGGTAAATTTTATCTTGTACAGTGTCGCCCCATACTTACCAAAATAGTGTCATATTTTTTCTTGATAGTGTCAGACAAGCTGTTCTTTTTTTGTGACCTGTTCAATAATGCCTACAGTGGTCCTGCTTCAGTTCATAAGAGTCTTGCGGACTGAGAACATGATATATTTTCATTTTCACATATGCAATGTAAGCCATGTCTGTATGCATTAGAATTTTGTGGAATTGACCTACCCATGTGGTGTAGCACATAAAATTTTATTCCAATGCATTTTCTCAGATCTTGAACAGTAAATGCACACCAAACGTCTGTGCAGGCGTTTTTCGCGTTGATTTTAAAAAGAGCTTTTGAAAATTTATTACATTTTAATGTACCTGTGTTTTTAGATTGCTTCCAAAGAATTGGTTGTCCCTGGGTTGACATGCTTTTCACACTGCTTTATACTATCATTGTGGTGCGCATCATCTTTTGAAGACACAAAATAAACAGTATAAAACAATATTCAGTTACTTTGTACTTTTCTTTCCCACATGAATAACATGTCTGTTATACTGGGTGTGCATTTGATATGCGTGCAGCTTTATAAAAGAAAAATGGAGCATTCTGCATAAATGAAAACCACTGCGTTACTAGCAAAGTGAGAGCACATGTAAGTATCTTTTTCACTTGGGCATAAATAATTAATACTAATTCATCGAGGTGTCATTGGAAACTAGGGCGCCTTTAAAGAAAACACGATTTATTTTTTTGCAACATGATACACCGTGTGCTTTTTCAGGGAGCCTGTGAAATATAAAACATGCTCCGTGATGAGGCGGGTGCATTGTCATGTGGTATTTTGTTATTTTCACAGCTCAACTGAACCTAGTGGCTTTTAAATGGTCCAGTTAATTGTCTGGTCCCAGCTAACTTGGGAACTGCAACCCCCTGACTTCCAACTGGGTACCAGTTGACTCCCAACTGGGATTGGTTGACTCCCAGCTGGTACCAGTTGGCTCCCAGCTGGGTACCAGTTGACTCCCAGCTGGGACCAGTTGCCTCCCAGCTGGGATAGGTTGACTCCCAGCTGGGATAGGTTGACTCCCAGCTGGGACCAGTTGCCTCCCAGCTGGGACCAGTTGACTCCCAGCTGGGACCAGTTGCCTCCCAGCTGGGAACACTTGCCTCCCAGCTGAGACCAGTTGACTCCCAGCTGAGACCAGTTGACTCCCAGCTGAGACCAGTTGACTCCCAGCTGGGACCAGTTGACTCCCAGTTTGCACCAGTTGGTTCCCAGTTAAACCAGTTGGACTTTCAACTGGTCCCAGTTGGGAAATTTTCACCTGGGTAGGCAAGGATGTTTTGCTGCCCTTCGCCTCCCTGCAACGCCCTGATGACAGGATCGAGAACCAGGTTGAACAGCAGCCCGCTCAGTGGGCAGCCCTGTCAGATCCCAGATGAGATTTTGATGGGCTCCGTGATGCCCGCCTCACCGACGATGGATGTCGTGTTTCCGCTGTACAGGCTCCCCGGACCGCGTCGACGAGGGCATTGTGAGCGACCGACCCGAAGGCGTTGGCATAGTCAAGGAAGGCCACACAAAGGTCTCCACCGCCCGTCCGGGCCGCATCCAAGCGCTCCTGCAGCATGAAGTTGTGTTCAAACACTCTGTCGTGTGGCATGAATTCTTTCTGGCACCGTGACAGGACGCGGTGCTCAGACAGCCACTGCTGCAGACGAGCCGCAAAGCATCCGGCGTAGAGCTTTGCGACTGTGCATCCTAGGGAGATTGGGCGTCAGTTGGCGGGGTATTGCCGATCTCTCTTCTTGTAGATGAGGATTGTCCTCGACTCTCTCCAGGTGTCTGGCACGCGGCGATGACGTAGGCAGATGTTGAATGCCGCCGCAAGGAAGGAGGCCTCGGCATCAACAGTTCGCCAGTGTTGGTAAGTCAAGCGGTCGGCCCCGGCTGCCGTACTCTCGCAGCGTCTCAGGTGGTTCGCCACCTCGTCGTCGGTGAAGGCAGCCATGAATATCTCGCCTGCGGCTGGCACTCAAGCCATGAGGAGGTTCGTGTCGACCTCCCTAGGGGCCCATCTAGTGGTAAAGTGGGCCTGGAGCTCGTCCAATGGGACTGGACACTGCGTGGAGGGACCCTCGATGATGAGTCTCACTGCCCGGCGGCGGTTGCGGCGGTACAGGGACTGGATCCGCTGCGGGCAGTTGGGATTGGCTTCATGGCGAGGCCACCCTCCAGATGTTGCGGATGGAAGCTTCACGGCTGTCGTCACTGCCTCAATTGCGGCCTCAAGAGTGCTGGTGAAGCTGCTCCAACCCGCAGCAGACACCGGTTCCCTGAGTAGCCTCCGCAAGCTTTTTGTGTGTTCAGAGAGCACGCGGGACTCGTCGGTCGGTTCCCATGGCATTGAGGTGCCGGCAGGGTCCTCACAGTGGCCGACGTCACCGGTTTCGGTCACGTTGCCGGCGTCAGTTTGGTCGTTGGGGGTTCAGCTTCTTGGTGTGCTCGTGACGTCTCGGTCTCCGGGGTTGGTAGGAACTTCTCCATCTGGAGCTTCGGCCCCCGCGGTCACACTGCCGACCTTGGTCTGGTCGTTTGGAGTTGCACTGTTACTGTGCTCGTGGGATCTTGGTCCCTGGTGTTGGAGGGGGCCTCCTCGTGAGCAGCTTCGGCTGCTTCGGTGTCACTGCCGTCCTTGGCTAGATCGTCGGCGGTGAGACTCAGTAATGTGTCGGACGGTTGATTGATTGATTGATTAGGGTTTTATGGCGCAAAAGCATCTTAGGCTATGATGCGCCAGATACAGACTATTGCATAGAACGTTTCAGAGGAGAAAGAGCTTTAGTAGCTGTGGTGGATTAAAACTATGTATATGACTTGTAAATAGTGATGGAGATAAAGTTGAATATAAAATTATAGCCGGTGTAAAAGACCGATAGCTCTCAAAAAGTTAAAAACACAACTGTGTGGTACAAGTCGGTCGTTGCCAAGTAGAATACTAAGGTGTAAAGGCGTATGCTCGTTATATAATTGAGAAAAATGTTTTCGACGTTCTTGGTCATACGCTGGGCATTCAAGTAAAATGTGTAAAACTGTTAGAGGACTAAAACAGTTCTCACACTCTGGGGCCTCTTCCCTGCGCAGGAGGTGGCCATGAGTAAGGTGTGTATGACCTATCCTCAGTCGACACAAGACAACCTCATAGAAACGTTCGCGGTGTCGAGCACTCTCCCACTCACTGATCAATGGTTTTATAGAATGGAGCTTGTTATTAACTTCTTCATCCCATTCTTGCTGCCACTTCCTTCTAATACAATGCTTTAAAAGTGTGCTATACTCTTTGTATGGAATGTCATGCAGGTCCACTTCTTCCTCACCAGCAGAACTTGCAGCAAGGTCTGCTTCTTCATTTCCGGGTATACCAACATGGATAGGAACCCAACATAAAATTATTTTAATATTCCTTTTTGAAGCATCAATAATTTTATTCTGCAACTCCATGATTAGTGGGTTTTTCGAAGTCTTTAATGATGAGAGTGAGCGCAGAGAACTCAGTGAATCAGTGTACACGACTGACTGCTTGCTCTTTGTTTTTACAATATGATCAACTGCAAGACGGAGACCGCATAGCTCTGCTGTTAAAATAGTGGCTGTACACGCAATCCGTTTTACACAGCGAACAGAGGGGCCGACCATAGCACATCCAACAAACGATTCTGTCTTAGTACCATCCGCTGTATGAGTTGTGTCCAGAATATCTACTCTGAAGCTCAAAAATTCCTGTTTTATGTATTCTGGTGGAGTTTCTTTCTTTTTAATTTTTGTTAGTGAAAGGTCACAGGAAATGAGGCAGTGGTCCCACGGAGCTATAGTTTGTGGAATAGGAGTGACGGGCATTGTACTACTCAGTCCAATTGAATCTGCTTTGGATGCATTTCTCATACTAAAAGGTCTTATTACAGTGGGCTTGTTGTCAAAAGTACGTTTATACCTCATTTCTTCAACAGCTTCTCGAGAAGGGTGCAAGGGAACCGAACGAATTCTAAGCGAATACATAAACCCTAAAGCAAACCTTCGCTTCTCCAGAGACCATTCATTTGACTCTGCGTAAAGGCTGGGGATAGGCGACGTGCGAAATGCACCTGTAGACAGTCGCAGTCCCTGGTGATGAATAGGGTCAAGCATTCGTAGGGCTGAAGGCCTTGCCGATCCATACACACTACTACCATAATCAAGGCGCGAGCGAATCACCGATCTGTAAATTCGGAGGAGGCAGAGGCGATCAGAGCCCCAGGAGGTGTGAGAAAGCACCTTAAGGATCCTTA